CTTCTTTTTTTTTCTTTTTTTTTTTGTTATGTTCTATTCAAAATGAATAATGCCAATAAAGATATTATTATAAAACATGTACAGTTCAGTTCATACATACAGTGGGGGCTATACATGACAGTATGGCAATACATGACAAAGGAACAATACACGATAGTGGGATATTTTTTGTGTACTCACATAATGTAGTCTGAAGTGTTTTTTCTTGGGTGCGTGGAGGTCAAAACCATTACATAATTTGACATAATTTTTAAATCCGTAGATCAACATAATAAGTGGGTATAAATTCACAATTCTACAAGTGTATACACCTTTATGTATTTCTACTTAGTCTGCAATTCTTTCCAGCTGATTAAAGACCAGTATCACCTCTTTCCACACTTGAAATAATGAGATGTTAAAGAAATGACATGATTATAAAGAATCTACATTAATCATTGCGACGTGTCTGGATATAAAGAATTATTGCGAAGAACATTATGGAATTTTATGAGTTAGGGACTGGTCATTTTCTTCGGCAGGGGGTGCCGGGCGAAAAACAGGGGAACCAAGCTATTTTAAAATTGGATAAAGGGATATACCTTTTTCACATTACATGGGTAGGCAATTTTGTTATGTGCAGAAGAAAAATACATAAGTTTAAACAGACACAATATTTACAGATTATTGTACTTTTTTTATTGCACAAAAATATTCAAGTTCATGAACTTTCTTTTAACACTTTCAAAATTCAAACTATTATTTTTGTGATATAAAGTTTATTGTATTTTTTAATTGTTAATAAACAACCAATGCACTTACTCAAATAGTTTTTTTTTGAATAACTCATCAGAATACCAAAGAAAATAGCAAAACATTAGTATGATATATTTGAAATACAATTTATCATTAATAAAAAATATCAAAACAGTATATAACATAACCTTGTATATGAACTATTTGTAAATCCTAATAGTCAATATCACCACCGCCATTTCAAAATAACAAATGTTTTTTAAAAGCATCACTGCAGCCAATACCAACATGGATTACATAATCACCACTGCCATGACTGACAACACCTGTCGTGAAAGGCATCACCACCGTTATTATGTACAACATCAAAAACTGTCATGGACGGCATCATCACCTTATACTAAAATATGTTTGGATATTTATAGTAGTAAACACATTTCACTTCCGGTCCAGTTATACTATACTATGAATACTTACTTTAGAGATGTAATTTTTGATATGTGCTAGTTCTAGGATATTTCAGTTTCATTGTCCTGTACTTTAGTAATCCGGACTTCCCAGATTGCGTAAAAATGAATAGTTTGTGATTGTGGTATGTGAACGCTAATAAATGAGGTCTTAAATTTCTGATAACATAAACACGGGTTTCACCATTCGCTTATTATGACACCCTTAAAAGCGAGTGATTCTTGTTTCCCTCAAGGGTAAACAATGGTTAATTCGTGTTTTGTACGATGATTTGAAACAGTTTCGTGTGCTCCACTTTTCGTTTTGCCTTAAATAGCGTTTTGGGGTTCATCACTGCCGTCCCTGGAATCTTATCAATATCAATTTAGTTGCTCGTGGTAAGATAGTAATTAGCATAACAATGTTTTCACCTTTGTCGTCATTTTTAATTATCCTTGCTATTTTCAACTGAATAAAACTGACCGCAAAATACGCCCACTGAGAAGTGTCTTTGATGGAATATTTTATATTGCAATTTCTTTCAATTTTATTTTGGGGTATTGCAATACTAATAATACTAATAATTAAAATATAAATAGATATGCATGTACATTTTTTTATTCCATTACTGAGAATGAGTTATACATTTGTTTTGTACTATAATTTCTGTGGATTATTAATTTCTATAAACAATATTCAACTATCCTTCTGGAACATCAATACCTACAGTATGTCACTAAAGCAGTATGACAAGAATACGTGATGCAAAGCCCATTCTATACATTTTTAAATGTTCTTTGGTCAAAGTAAGAAACTAGGTGATAATATCAGAGCACGGGTCTTATTAAGGAACTTCTACCAGAGCAACTGCACAAAACATAAAGACAAATAACAGCTCCTAAGGATGGTATTCCCAGATTGACACCAGTTGTTAATGACATTAATTCTCAACTCCGATGAAAGAGCCAGTTACTGTGACAAAGTCTTACTCACTGCGAAAGCTACTCACTTCGAAGCTACGAGTAATATAAATCAAAAGTTCTTGTGGGGGTCACTGTATCTTCAGATGATGTTTTTGTTTTTTTGCTTGAGGGGCAAAGTCTTTTCATACTTTTGCGAAATCAGATTTCCCGGCACTCCCGGCCAAAGAAAATGATCAGTCCCTTATGTCGCATATCACCAGACATTGATCCACAGGTTTGATGACATTTACTGCATAGACGCAGAGAAACAAACAACATATATTCACAGGATAAATGTTTTAAAATGACACATATTTTTTGGACAATTCACAATTTTTCATTAGACTACCCATAGCAGCATAGACATCAAAGAACACGAAATTGTTCAGTTTATTAATGTAAAAAAAAAAACACGCAACGCAATCATAAATGTTGACAGTTTCTTATAAGATAAAAAACTTTGTTTAAAATGTAACCAACAAATTACATGATTAGTGATTCCTCTTATTTCAGTTCTCTAACTCAACATTTAAAACATAGTTCAGTAATCAAGAGAAGGTTACGTGTCTAACAACACTATAACAATGCTGAAAATAAACACATGTCAGACATATGTTGATAGTTTTAGAAAGTCCCGAGTAATCACCTCGTGACGCGCCATAATGACGTATGCAAATTAGGATAATATATCTGACACGAAGTAACCACCTCGTGACGCGTCATAATGACGTATGCAAATTAGGATAATATAACTGACACGAAGTAATCACCTCGCGAGGCGCCATAATGACGTATGCAAATTAGGATAATATATCTGACACGAGTTAATTAATACCTATTACAGTAGGATGATTCAGTTACACCAGACTTCGTTTAGATTTTAGAAGAAGGTTCTATATCTGTGGGTAAGTTGAAATATTAAAATTTTGAAATTCATTGTCCAATCCATTACGAGTCTAGAATGATTTGTACTTTTTTGTATACTACGATGGCTTGTTAGGGCCATTCACTGTTTTTCGAATTTCTCACATTTTCACCTGTATTTTTCGCCTTCATTTCGAATTTCCGACAATTTCACTTTAATTTTACATCCCGGTGGAAATATTTACACCACGGAGAAAATTATTCTTATCGCAGTTTAAATATTTCCACTGAGGTGTAAATTAAAGTGAAAATGTCGGAAGGTCGACATTATGCAGACAATTATTCTCACCGCGGTTTCCATTATATTATTCGGCAAGTTCTTTTTCTTCTTTTCTTGTTTTCCCTAAATCATCATGGCTATCCCAGGCTCTAAAAAGATAACACATGAACAGTGGGAACAAAAAAGATGGTTAAATATGAGTTTTGAAACATACATGTCAAACATCCAATCTGTAACATTTGTTCTGTTGCGTTGGAAAAGTAGAAATGCAATCGATAAACCATATGATATGTAATATAGCTCAATATATACGTTATTTTGTCATGGTGGGAGGATGTTACAAAATTGGAGAACGATGTCGGGATCAATAATAAATAGTAGTAGTTAATCGTATTCCTTGATAATCATTTAATAAAACCGAAAGGTCCCAGTCTCTTATTATATGCTTTGTCATGTGTTTCGATTTTGTTCAGTACAGTTCAGACTGGCTATACCGACTTTGGATGCATGAGTGTGTTCATCCAGGGTAGACATTCTATAACATGCGTAAAATGAAATGCTGTCAGGATATAGCAAATTATCATCTAAACTAATACGACTATTCTGTGTGATGGCACAGAGACACATATCACGGTAATTTCTAATATACTGTCGATTACTTTTATACCCCCCTGCCATCTCTTTCACGCAGACACGTCACCACATAGATACAATCACCAATACTGACAAATGCTTCCCACCACCACACAAGGTTTCTCTGCCGTCATGTATTGAATGAATTTTCTCTTTCTAAGCATCGAGTTTATTCTTGATTGTCAAACACAGATGCCATATTCGTTGGTCCATGCAGGTTTGAACTTTGATGGCTGATTAGAATCTGTTCACTTTCACAGTGATTAATGTTCAGTTCAAGATTCGTTAGTTAAAAATCTGACTTACATTTTACCTTACAGTGTTTTTTTTTTCTTTTATTTACTATGGGTGTGTTTGGAATAGCGTAATTATAATCATGTGTGGTTATGTTTGCGTGAGTGAAAAAGACAGATGAGACCTCGACCCGCAACTAATTTTATTTATTCCAACGCGCGTGATCGGCGCCTTTAATTCATTGCGTTTATTTGTTTGTTTTACATTTTTTAAATCCATCATTTAAGCAAAATGAACTATTCAACATTTTAAATAAATGTATTTGTTATAAAATAGTTGAAATGTAGTTGAAGACATTAGATTGAAATTATTTTTTAAATTTTATTTGATTTACGTTTACGTTTAAAATCACTAAATTATTGAAATTTTAATGCGTTTATATTATAACTTTTATGTACTTAACATGCAAATAAAAAAAACAACGATTGCACGGCAGATATTCAACTTTTCATAAATCTTTAAATTCACAACATAATGTTATCTGCCATGTCTCAATGATCATCAGCAAAGCGAGTGTTATACTGCAATGTTAACAGAAACGTATTATGTATGGAAGAGTAACTGAACGTGTATTGGACACAACACATCATCATGTAACTCTATAAATTAAAATTGATGCATCTAAATTTTATCACGTCTTATTGACACTTAAAATGTGTTTGAAATATGGTTTTTGGCGAAGCCAAAATTGTGTAATCGACTGTATGTCACATGTTTCATTTTTTTTCACAGCTAACTTTACAACATTTCACATAATTTCTACGAATTTATTATAAGGAAAAAGAATGTATCGTTGGTGGAGGGTTGCAATAATCAGGACCGTGTTGTTTTGTGTGATTAACTCTCCATTTCTGTATCTGTTTATCCAAGGTAAGTGTCTTCCCGGCATGCAGTGTGTCTGACTATAATGCTTTAAAGTTGCACTGCCAGAATAGATTACCCCTTTCAGTTTTGTAACTTTTGCAACAAATCAAACCAAGTGATGGTATTTACGAGTTATACTAATCGAAACCTGATTTATGAATAAGTTATTATATGTCATTAAAATTATTATATTATAATATATCCCATCATGCATTGCTGTCATAATTCTACTTCGAGAGCACTCTAAACACAAATAATTTAAAGCGCGGCGGGCGTCGCGCAGCGCGTGTTCGAATTTCATGTAAATAAACAATGTATTTTACACGCGTTGTATACGTCGCTATGAGTCTCATATCGAACAGGACGCGGCACGACGACTGCCGCCCTTTAAGTACGCAGTCCTAGCAATGGGTCCCAATGGCTATTCAGGGAACAACTCAAGAGTGCATGTCAACCTAGTCTTAATGGGAAATGCTCCATGTCGAATATAGATTCTCTTGTCGAAAAGAAAATCATGTGTGCCATTCAGTGGCTTGATGTGATCCTAAGATGCTAAAAACTGAATCACAACCGAAACTTAGAAACTGCTCAGTGATGTTTAACTAATGACAGATATCATGTGAATACCATAGCTGCAGCATTTATTACAATACATATATAAATTGAAATGTCAAAAACTTTAATAACAAGGACATACTAGTATAACACATATTTTATTCATTTCTTCCATAAAGGGTATCACAGGTATGTGTTGGCTGCTGAGAAACACACGGTAAGTTATCATGCATCAATCAACCCACTTCATCATGGCAACGAATTCGTTTCATGGACTTACCTAGACTGTCGACAGTCTAGGACTTACCCAATATTGTCAGCTAATTGGCTAACACTACAGCTGTAAGGCATTGTCAGGCATATTATATTGTATTCGGTTCTGTTATTTGAGACTTGTTATGCTAATTATACTTTTACTGATCATAGCCAGGCTAGTCACCCAGAAAATATAATGGTCTAATGTGGCAGTAACAGCGTTATCAACATTGAAATCGAATCAAAGATAGAAAATATTGTTATCACATGGAACTCGGTCGAAGTCAGAGGATTTCCTGATGCGTTTTTTTTTGTATTTATCAACTTTTATTGGAGTTTGCACTGAAATTAACATCTTACATATCTGCTTTGTACATTACAAATTGCAATTAATCTACATATTGTGAAGTGAACTGGGAAACATTTTTCATAAAATATCCCCATTTCTTATTATGCCATGAATTCTGGCTTTTGATTTTTATGTCTACACAAGTAAATATATGTTTTTGCTACTAGAAAGAGGAAGTTGACTGAACATGTAAAGTTTTCATCCCCAAGAGGGATTTATTGCGCATTCTAGAATGCCTTCAGGCCAAGTTTACCCCCCCCCCCAAAGCATTAGTTTCCCATAAATCTTGGGTACATTGACATTGGTCAAGAGCATTGATTCAGAGCATGATGAACAGAAAGTACACAGATCAGACTCCACAATGGGAGGTTTCATCTTGAATAATGTTTTGTTTGTGGTCAGAATATTATGGATTATTTTGAGTTGAAATTCTCTGAGACGAGTATCAATTGTAGTACGTTTCCTGATTTTTAATAGTTTAATTTCTTTATTTACTTAGGCATTCAAAAAATGTTCCAAATACCTGTCAGCTCACTGTGTTATACAACACATGTGAGAAGTTATTAGAAGAATATTATTCTACACTATCTTGGTTTCAGACAAACACTTAGGTGGGCATCACAGCAGAAGAATAATCAAAGTGGATTTACACAACACATCTGATTTGAAACCTGAGTTTTGAAACTTGGATTGGTGTCTTATTTATTCGCTCAAAAGTGTGCTCCGAAATACTGCTACTGTCACCTGTATGTTGCATTGTGATCTCGCAAATATTATATCAAATGGAAATAAAATAGAGTGATTTAGTGTCCATGTAGTCTAAACATACGATAAAGAGACCACTTTTTGTCATGTTAGTCAGTTTTTAATGGCTTACTGCATGCTTTGAAACTACACTCAAGGCAAACTATGTTGAATACTATTCCCACTCAAAGTCTGAGTAAAAGTCTTTAGTATTGTCTGTACTGTCACCCATAAATACTGCATTGCTTTATATGTAAAGAAATATTTAAAGATAACGAACTGATTATTGGTATACGTGATACTCGCAAACGAGAGTGTTAACCCCAAACTTCAAATCGGTTTCAACATAAATTGGGAAGTCCATTTCAACGACAATCCTAGTCAATATCTATCAGAAACCCTCTCAGTATAATCAGTTTTGTTCTAATTTGTTCTAATCTATATGCTTTGTCCAGTCAATGTGAAATAAACATGAACCTTGTAATTACAAATAAGGGTGAAAGGTAAAACAGATGTTGTATTAGTTTAATAATATATTTGTTCATTTCATCTAGGATTTGACTAGATTAGTCCATGATGGAATTTCCGTTAATTGGACGGCCACTCAGCAATGGAGGAAGGTTTTACTAAGGAAAACCTGCAAACATTTAAAGAACACTCTTTCTGAGTTTAGTATGGCAAAGGTCTGTGTGGAAGATCACCACAAGCTTCTGATGTGCGCAACTCCTAAAGTAGGCTCTTCCACTTGGAAAACACTGTTTCTAGTTTTAAGCGGCAGATACAATTCGTCATCTGAGATGGGCACGCGATCAGATGTTCATGGAAACATGCCATGTTACATCATGTCAGACGAACGCTGGGACCACTACAAAGACTATACATCATTTTTATTTGTAAGACACCCCTTCTCAAAATTACTGTCTGCTTACAAAGACAAAATTACCCCTATGGGCAGTCAAATGGAGGGATTTGCTAAAAATACAATAAGACATATATTACGAACATACAGAAAGATTAAATCACCGATAATTAAAAACACTGAGTCAGAATACAACGTAACATTTGAAGAATTCGCAATGTATGTGGCAGGTACTAGAGATGACCCCTTGAGCATGAACAGGCACTGGATACCACAATACCTAAACTGCGATGTGTGTAGTAAGAAATTTGATGTCATTGGAAAACTCGAAACCTTCACAGAGGACAGTATACATATACTGGAAAGGGTTCACGCCAAAACAAATTTAAATTTCACACCGACAACGTCATTAAGCACTAATGTTCAGAGCTCGGGCGATGAATACATACTGGAATACTTCAAGCATCTGAATTCTACACTTGTAAAACAACTTTATGAACTATACGAAATGGATTTTAAGCTTTTTGGATATAAATATCCAGAGTATTTGCTAAGTTCATAATAGCTCATCGTCATATCATCATTGTCGCTGTGATGCAAAAAGCTTTTAGAAAATTTAGCGTTTGAAATTGGCATTTGGCTTCTAATAATTATTTTCTGTAGACGCGGAAAAATCTGACAAGTTGCATTAGAAATAACACGTTGGATATATCGTATTTTTTGTGTGTGACACAAATAACAATTCTATACTCTTATAGTTTGGCATTTTATTTGCTTTGTTTGATATTTTATTTGAAATTGTATTTGTAAATCAATGTAATGTGCAAGTCATTAGTATATTCTAGGAATGTATGGCATGTATTTTATTAGCTCTGTGTACAGGTCTGTGAATGTGGAGGCGCTCCTATTCATCGGG